AGTCAAGTGAGTGAAGTGAATGAAGTCAGAGGTGACATCACCTCACTTAGCTTTTCCCCTTCACTTGATACTGTTAAATAGAAACACACTGTTTCATGTGTATTGTCTCAGTCTTTTTTGCTCAGGCTAATGGGATTTTCTTATTCAGTGGATCAGCTTGATGAAGGTTTTAATTTACAGCAGACTTCCACTGTGACAAGAAGCACCATTCAGTGGACAAGAAAAGTGCTGACCTGCATGCTCGCACCAACACAAAACCCTCCCAGAAGGGGTGGTTTACAAAAAAAAGATGCTGTTGTGGTGCAAGTGAGGTCAGGAGAAATGTCACGGGAACAGGCACAAAAGTATTTCAACATACTGGACAGGATTGTTTTTTAAAGTATGTATTACTTATAGATGAGGGTGTGGGCTTAGCTTCAACATTGGTGGGGGCAACACACATGAAACTGGAGATTGAGAGTCTTCCAATACAAAACAAATAGTATCAAACACTGAATTTCTTGCTTCTGGTGAATTTTTATGCACCAATCTGTGCCCCTACACCTATGGTTATAGATGTATTAGAGGACCTGTGATCACAAAAGTACGTTTACTGGTAGAGGGAAGTGGCCTGACTTAACGTGACCAACAGGATGTGAGTTGTCAGGAAAAATGCTTAGTTGTAGTCTGCTTCATATCTGCTGCTCATGCCTTTTAACCCTCTTTGTCTTTTTCCTACCACTCCCTAATGCATTGTCTCACAGTTTACTTTCCTAATTGTACATTGAGCACCTCATGTAGGAACCACATTTGTTTTCTCCCTGTGAGCTAGAATCATAGGGAGGAAGAGAGATTAATACCTAAAATGCTCAGTCAGAACAGAGTAGGAAATTATGAGCTGTTAATATGTAGTAGTCCATAGAGAGCAGAGGGTTTGGTAGTTGTATCAGAGGAGGAACAAGCTACATGAAAAAGCCGTTGTCCTGTCAGGACAGGGGGAGGGCGCGGGTGCTCGTAAGCGTTCTGCATTCAGAAACACAAAAGGATGCTTGTGAAGGCATTCCATAGTGGCACCACGTACAACATTCAGACAAATCATCAGTGTAGTTAGTTTAAAGACAAACAAAGATATAGAGTAGATAGAGAGAAATTTACCCACATCATATAACTCTTAAGACCTGCACCTCCCCAGAAATACACGTCGCAGCGGTGCAGATCTCCTGTTGATTGTGTACTTATTTTGCATGCCTAGTTTTTTAAGTTTTAAGTTTTTAAGTTTAAATTTTGAAATCTTTAATCTGACTCTTTCCCCTTGGCTGCTGTAACACTGGAATTTCTCAATTATGGGATTAATAAAGATGTATCTTATCTTACCTTATCTTAGCCTGACACCATTTCCCTCAGAGGAAATGAAGCTTTTATTTACTATAATTTCACAGATAAGAAACAGTAAATTGTGAAGATAAAAAAGCCCCCTCAAAATCGCATTTTATGTCTAGTGTGTGATTTATCCTGGCTTCATATGAGTAGAGGAAAACTCCGCTCATCACAAGGCTAATTTAAATAATGGAAAATGCCATAGGCTTGTGCTAATAACATTAGCATGTTGTATTTGTTTGGAAAACGTGTTTAGTATAAGACAGTTGTTTTGTCAGTGAACCTTGTGAGTTGTAATGGAGCCGAATTTTGTAACATTACCTTTGTTGAATGTTGCTTTTGTCCCTGGCTTCATATGAGTAAAGTCCGCTAGCTGCTAGGCTAATTTAAACAATGTAAAATGCCATAGGCTTGTGCTAATAACAGTAGAACAGAAAATGTGTCCAACAAAAGACAAGTGTTATGTCTGCTGCTAATAAGACATGTTTGATGTGTTTTTTGAATCAACTCAGCTTTACAGCACTGGTTAGCTAATGTTAGCTTTGTCCGCTCTTCACTGCACACCCGCCGGGTTAAATGGGAGATAGCTAGGGGCTCCACTCATTTGTAATTACTGCTGTAAACACTGTCCCCGTGGTTGGACGACGTTACTGCAGAAACATGGTGGGCACCCTCCAGTGTCCCCAGCGTGTTAGCCCTGGTGAATAAGTGGCTTCATTTTGAGCCACAAAACCTCTTTGGCATTTTAACCATGTTAGAACCACTAGCTATGCTTACACTGCTAATGGTGCTAACAGCGTTAATAGCGATGCTAAAGAGGGTTTGGGGCTCAAAATTGAGCTGCTGCTTTAACAGGATGACCTGGGGGGAGACTGGAGGGTGAGTGCAATGTTTTCAAAGCAACTCTGTTGGGACTGGCAGGGCGTTACTAGTGGTAATTGCTGAATAAGCGGTGCCGCTAGCTAGCTCCCACAGGGTCATCCCTATGTTTCCAGGGTTCTATGTTTCCCGGGTTCTATGTTCCCCTCTTACCACCCAAAAGGGTTCTGTGTTTCCCGCTTGGTTGAGCGGGAAACATAGAACCTGGGAAACATAGAACCATTTTTGTGTAAGCAGGGAACATAGAACCTTTTTTGCAGGGATAAGTGGGGAACATAGAACCCGGGAAACATAGATATGCTCCCGCTCCCATGCTTGGCTGGCGCGCAGTGCAGAGCAGCCAAGGCTAGCTAACCAGTGAAGGCCAGAGAGTGAGCAGTGGGCACTGTGTTTCCGTGGCTAGCTATCTGTCTGTGTCCTACCAGATCCGGGTAGTACACAGCGCAGGAAACCGTTCATAGTATTTCTACGTGATTTCGGTTAACCGCCAATTACTCGCATGCAGTTGATTCTTATGGCCGATGGATGTGACTTACGCTGCTCTTGGTTACTCCAGCGAGATAATTCACACCAGTTGGCCACAGTGGTTTCATGATATGACACATATACTCACAGACATAGCACACCCTCACACATACATGCAAGATGCCATGTGTGAGGGTTGTCCTGCTGGCAGGGCCATCTGTAGCCCTGCAACAGGCCCGTGAGTCAGCAGGGCAGACAGAGTCCCAGGATTCAGAGATTTGCATAAACAGTGTGCAGAGAGAGGTGAGAGAAGAAGCTTGGCGGCTGCCTTCCTCTGAACAAATTGGCTGCCAAAGTTAACCACAGAGAAAGTCTGCATTACGATAAGAGGTGATCTGGTTGAGTGAGTAAGGGTAATCACCGGGGGTGGCAAAGGGTAATGAGTTCACACAAACCATTATTTTTTTAAAAAAAAGTACAGTTTCAACTAATTTTGCATTTCTTTTGAATAAAAATGACATGCAGCTAAGATCATTAACAACTTCATGGGGTCTATTAGAGCAGCTGTCTCAAAGAGCAGGTTAGTTTCATAGTGATTAGTGAGACTGATTACTGAACACAAGACCTCAGGTCAGATCTGCTGGGGGGAGGGGGGAGAAAAGACTGGTTCAGCTCCAAGAGCCACAAAGATCTGTGAATCACCATGAGGCCTGTGGTAACATGCCTCAGTCAGAAGAAAAGAGACTGACACAGGTCCTTACACATATATAAGGGTATCTATGTCATGTAGCCTATTATGTGGAGGTGTGCTGAGTGAGGTGGAGTTGTGCGGACTTGTCCAGCTCTGAATATGTACTTTTCTGCGGCTCAGTGGGGCTCCATGCTCCTCTCATTTCTAGGACATTTGAAGCACTCTTTCCTTGTAAAGAGGATAAACAAGACGTCCAACAGTAACCTAGTGTTATTTTAAGTGCTAAAACGTTCAATATTTCCCTTACAATTTGTTCTTTAGCAGCTTCTAAATAAAAAGACACTTTTTCATATTTTGACATCACATACAGACCAGAGGTCCAATTTTTCTGGTTGCACCATTGTTGCACATCATTTTATGCACGTTTTCCTGTGAGTCAGTTAAACTTAAAGGAGCTGTGTGTGACAGTCGGAGCATTAAAGGAGAACTGCACCCACAAAATGATCATTTGTGTATCAGTTACTCACCATGAGGTGACATGAATCAGTGAAGAAAACTTTGTTTTTCTCGCATGCCTCTACAATAAATGGAGAATCCAAAAAGGCTAGTCGAGCTGTAACTGTAGCTTGACTTGACTGTGCATGTAAATGTACACACATGTCGAACCATCCATTTACAAACTCACACACAACCCAAGTCTCATTTATCCAGGCATGCTCAGTACTTCCTGAACATATGCATTTTTGCTAAAACATTCTGAGTTAAAACATGCCAGTACGAACAGTTTCATGTATGGCTGAGTAGCATGCCTGGCCAAACGCATACATTTGAACTCTTTTCAAGCAGAGCTTATATCCAGGCGCGTGCCCAGGCACGATCAGGGTGCGCTACTCTTCTGGGGAAGTGTTTTATATTGTAACATTTTAGTGACAATGCATGTTTTTGGGACGTACTTAGCATATGACTGGATAAATTAGACTCAAATTATACTACTTGTTTTACGTGAGAGTTTGTAAACTGATATATTTTAGCTGTTGTTAAATGTGGCCCCCAATGACGTTATAAAAATGGTGTCCTGAGGAGTTACTGAGGTCACGCTCCTTCTATGTGTGTTGTAATCTGAGTCGCACTGGTTAGCCAGTTGCCGCCTCTTTGCACTGTGCTTATATGGCTGTTACTGCAGATAATGCTGTCCCAAAGCAAACCACGGTGGCTAAACGCCCACCCTCAGTCCCCCTTCACATTACCACTGTAAGCTCTGTCAGCACTGCCGTTGTTGGCCCTGTTAGCACCACTAGCTGGTTGCTGCTGCCTCTGCCAACCTTTTGTGTGCAGGCAATCCCAGCTCAAACTTTGAATGGTAAATATGCTCTGATTGTCACATACAGCTCCTTTAATTTACACATTTGTACACACTGCAGTGTTGACTATAATTTATATAATGATGAAGGTGCAAACGAATTTAAGAGGTTAACAATGCAACATGTCTGACAATAAACCAGGACACCGGATATATGTTATAAGATTTTGTTCACTAGTCTTTGTTCATGACTGTGTTCTCTTATGTCTAAATGTTTATTCACGAGCAAGGAACACGCAACCAATCAGATACGTTTTAGAAGATTTATTGGACAATAATGAATTGGATGGATGGATGGATGGATTATTGAGTGCGGTGTGGGGAGATTTGGAGGTCCGTAGTGGCGCCCGGGCATCGATGAACCCCTAGTGTCCTAGAGGAGAGGAGACAGGGAGATAAGGTGAAAGAGGGTGGGAGGGATGGATGCGAATGCAGGAGTGAGAGACTGAGGAAAGGGTTAGTTCCGCTTATATAGTAGGCTAGAAGGCTGTGATTGGTGTGTGTTCCCGCTCCTGAAACTGCGCTTTAACAAGCTTCGAATATTGACTTTGGTGTCTCCACATGTCAGTTTTCCAGGAGCGTCCTAAACTTCCTCCGACTCAGGCCCAGGCCACAGCTCGCACCATCCCACCAGAACACTACTCCTACACAGCTTCTATCCTCAGGCTGCTCCGCAACAAGCCCTTCATCCTCCTCATCATTACTTATGGTGAGTCATCATCACTGTCCACAGTAATAGTTATTTGTCTGAGTTAATTCTATGGACCAAAAACATCCACAATTTCTGATCTGTGTGGTTTGAATTGTTTGATTTCTGATTTCTTAATCTTTCAAGTGGATATGGCAATGTTGCCAGCAAACAGTTGCTTATTTGCATATCGAGCAGCTACAGATCAACATTATCAATCATGTTTATCTAATGAATGTAAGTCCAATATTTCCTCTCTTTTAGCTATGTTTTTTGTCTCCACCCTCTTCAGAGGCAAATGTCTGTCTCTAGTAAATATATTGATGTTATAGCCACTTTAAAATCAACCAATCCAGCTGAAAACAGAGGACAGATTCAGATATTCCCCAACACATCATCAGAGTTGACTTGCACCACATCAGTTACTGATTCAGCTGGAAAATAGGTGTTACATTAGCATAGAAATCACTTACTGATCTTGAAGAAAGCCCCAAGTCTCGCCTTTTAAAGTGTAACTGGTTTTATCTTATTATAAGTCATAAACATGCACAAAGTCATTAGTTATCCAGACGCTCATAGCAGAGTGTGCTTGACCTGGAGGGGTTCAAAGTTTGCTTGTAGTCTGGCAATATTTAACAAATGATCGATTCGTCCTTAAGATAAAAAGTTTTATGAAATATAAATTACTCTGGGATATGAAATTAGTTTCTTTGCAGTGAAATTAGTCGAGTTTGTCAAATCACAGCCGCTACGTCCAACAGCTGTGAGCAGTTCAAGTAAACACTTTCATCTTGCTTGACCCAACTGTTGTGTCACTTCATGTGACGATTCATGTGACTTTTATTAGTGTGTGTGTGTCTCTCTGTGTCTTTCTGCATATGATTTTAAGACTGTCAGATAACTATTTGGTATCAGATTTACACGTGATTTCCGCTCTGTCCTGCAGGCTTAACCCAGTTGCCAAAATAAATGTTGACACTGTACATATCTGCAAACCATGGATTTGCTGCTTTTGTATGTCTCAGATGTAGCAGATATCTTGAATCCTTACATCTTTTTCCATTTAAATTTTCAAGTTTATGTTTTCACGATGCTTTCATTGAAGTGTGGTTATGGTAAGACATAAAACCACTTGGTTAGGGTTAGGAAAACATAATGTTTTGGCTTAAAATGCCTGGTTTTGTTCACCATAAACACAGCTGGACATGTCCCGAACTGTCATTAAAGATTACCTGCTTTTGTTGCTACGGACTTGACTGGAAATGTCTCGTCGAAAATACCCAGTTTTGCTGCCACAAAAGATCTTGTTTTGTTGCCACAAATACAAATGAAAATATCCTGAACTGTTTTTCTAAATCACCTGCTTTTATATCTACAAACACAGCTGGACATATCCCAAACTGGGATTGGTCACCGCAAACTTGACTGGAAATGTCCCAACGTCTTGTCAAAAATACCCAGTTTTGTTACCACAAACATAAATGGAAATGTCCCGAACTGTCGTTTTTGTTGAGTACGCAGTTTTGTGGCCAAAACACAATGAGAAATGTCCTGAACTGTCACTAAAAAACATACGCTTTTATTGCTGCAAACATGGCTGGACATATCCCAAACTGTCTTTAAAGATTACCTGGTTTTGTTGCCACAAACACAGCTGAAAATGTCCCAATGTCTCGTTGAAAATACTCAGTTTTGTTGTCACAAACAAGATTGAAAATATCCAGATCTGTGGTTAAAATATACTTGTTGACTTGACTGGAAATGTCCCAATATTTTGTTAAAAGTACCCAGTTTTGTGGCCTCAAACACAAATGAAAATGTCCTGAACTGTCATTAAAAAATACTCGCTTTCATTGCTACAAACACAGCTGGACATATCCAGAACTGTTGTTAAAGAATACTTGGTTTGATCGCCACAGACGTGACTGGAAATGCCCCGATGTGCCCTTTAAAAAAGAACAAGTTTGGTTGGCAAAAGACAGCTGAAAATGCCCTGACGTCTTGTTTTGTCCCACGGACACGAATGAAATTGTCCTCAACTGTCATTAGAAAGCACCCACTTTTGTTGCTACAAACATGAATAGAAACGTCCCGACGTGTCGTTTAAAATACAGCTTTCATTGCTGTTGTGGCAGAAGTGAACAAATACAGAGTGAAACGATCAGGTTGTATTTTGTGCTATTTAATAAAGGGTTAAAACAGAATAATAAGAGCTATAACAGAGTCAGTTTATTTCAGCTGAAAGGTCCTGGCTCTGACACCTGGAGTGCCCTCTGTAGGTCTGACAAAGAATCACAGATTCAGTCACATAATATAATTAAACCTCAGAAGTGTACAGCAGGAGGGAGGCACAGGGAGACCTTCAGTTAACTGATAACTGTCATGAGAACAGCTACAAAGCAATCTTCCCATACACAAATGAAAAGTTTTCAAGGACACAGTTTACCTCTGGTACAGTGAAGCGTTATACACAAGAGGAGCCAGAATACGACATGTCTGTATATGTTTTTTTCATTTTACATCCTCACTTGTTTTATTCTCTAAACATTTTTCCAAAAATGCTGTTTTTATGCAGGTGTATGTTCTTCCTGTGTCGTTAATGTCTGAGTAACCGACTGTATCTAAAACCTTTGCAAGACAAAATCCTCCGACCTTTGCAGACCTGTCCTTTTATAGAAGTCCTTGGTTTGGGTCGGCTCTCTGTTTAGGAAACCAGCCTGATTAGGGTCATTCGACACAATCCAAAACCCTTCAACTGCTCTCATTAAAGTATTTCATCATTCTCATAAGGAAGTTAGCTCAATGCTTCGTTAACATTGTGAAAGGTTTCCTGAAAGATGTTTCTGTCCTGTGGTTTGTCGTGTGAAGACTCTGTCTGACAATATTTCCCACTGCACAGGTTTGAACGTGGGTTGTTTCTATGCTGTTGGCACCCTGCTGAACCGCATGATCATCGAGCATTACCCTGTAAGTCCCGCCCATTGTTTCTGTGTACGAATAATAACATGCAGTTTGGTGTTTCCTCTGTATTGATATCTATTACCTAATGTTCTTGTTACACTTTCCGTAGTTTGATATTTCAGGACTTAATAAGCTGATTTTACTTTTCTATTTTGCATTGCAACCACACTTTGGTGACTTAAACTGCAATATTTAATACCCAAGAAATAATACCAAACAATATCAATAAATTGCAGTGTGGTGACAGATTAAAGGAACACTTGACTCCCCCAAAAAACATTTCTATATCAGTAACCCACCTCATGTTTCATCGACTTTTTTCCTTGTGCGCCTCCACTGTGAACGAAGAATCCAAAAACTGAAAAAAAAAAAAAAAAAAAAAANCACACACACACACACACACACACACACAACACAACACTCTCTCCTGATTCAGTTTTCACTTGCAACTGGCTGCACCGGTTGTGGTAACATATCCAATGGGAAAATACAGAACACTGGCACAAAGATAACAACAAAACCTGATCAAATTATAAACAATGTGAGAAAGTTATTAATGGTGTCCTACCTTCATGTGCAGGGGTGAGAGAATAATGTGCGCGCACACTGGTGGGCAAAAAGCAGCATTTACAGTCAGCCAGCTTCAGTCAGGCTCGGATTTAAGAAGTCCAAGGTTCCCCAAACGCACCTCAGAAAACACCCAAAAAGTTTTTTCTCATTATTTAGATGTTTGTTTTTTAATTTAGTTAACTTCTGAATATTTTCTGCACATTTTTGCTGGACAGTAATTATACCTTTACTCCAATTAATTAGTACAATTTAAGGTATTTGTACTGTACTTGAGTATTTACATTTTACACTACTTTTACTTCAATATTAAATATTAAATATTGTTGTTGTTGTTTTTTTACTCTGCTGACACCTTAGTTTATTTTTCAGATTAAGACTTTATGTAAAGAAAACAATCATTTTAGAAAATAGTTGTAATAATATATTTATATTGCACCTTTCATACAAGAAATGCAGCACAAAGTTCTTTACAATAAGGGAATTATATGTAAGTGCTTCAAATGTCAATAGAACAGACATAAAACAGGCCAACAAGGCAAGTCAGTATAAGATGACATTTTCATACAATAAAAAAAATGAAAATAGAATACATAGAAGACATCATAGCTTGATATCAGCAAAGCAATAAATCTTAAAATCATTAAATCATAAAAGTATAAAATACAACACATCATTAAAGTATAAACCAGTGGTTCTCAACACTTGTTTTTAAGTTGTTAAGGTGATATCCCATCTAAACTTCTCAGATGGTTTCATTAAAAAATACTTTTAAAAACTGCTCACAGCCAAAAAAAAAAAGCAAATTCTTTCACAACATACTTTACAGAAAAATCAAAGATTTCAGAAAAGTAAAAGGAGGACATAATTTTGTGTATCATTTATTTATTTTATCTAATTTTATTATTATTTTTTATTAGATTTTACTTTATTAAATTTTATTTTTGTATTTGATTTTATTTCATTTTACTTTATTTTATTGCTTTATATGTTCATACTTCTATTGCATACTCTTATTCTTACTTCTTCTAATTCTGTATTCTTTACATCGGGGCAACTGTAACGAAACATAATTTCTCCTGGGGAATCAAGGAATTATTTCTATTTCTGATTTTTCCACCGAAGTACCGCAACAGGATGCTGCTAACATATTTGTATAATTTTATAGAATAACATTACCTGCTGAAGCTTTAATTTAATTTTACTCTCCATCAGTAGGTGGTGTAGAGAAAGGATTTATGTGACACCAGATGTGAGACTCAACTCTCCTCCACTCCCCTGCCTGAAATGAAATGTGCTGTCTCTCAAACTGCCTCGCCTTTCCTTGGTATGAAAGGCCGTAAGGGCGTTAATCTAAGTCCTATCTTCCTTGACCCCGTAGGGAGAAGAGGTGAATGCTGGGAGGATTGGCCTCACCATTGTCATCGCGGGGATGGTCGGCTCCCTCATCTGTGGCATTTGGCTGGACAAAACTAAAACCTACAAGTAAGGCGAATGTCGGAGAGGAAAAGCACATGACTTCTTTTAAGCTGTATTTATATATTTAGCGGACCCTATTTGACACAAGCAGCCACACAATCGTTTGTCTGTCCTGTTTATTGTCATTTCGCTTCTCATCTCGCTGCAGTTTTTGTTTAGTGTTTATTTGTTGGGGCTCTGTGTCTGTTTATCCAGGTGCAGCTTGCTGTTCTTAACACTGATCGCCGTGGCCTCATGAGCCTTTTGGCTGTGTAGTGACAGCAGGGTCCGCCCCATGGGGGGTTTCAGTCGACCTCCCATTGTCTTATTTACGAGAGTTTTGTTCTGCAAATGAAGGAATGCGAGTGTTTGTGGCTCACATGCAGAGAAACATTCAGTCTTACCTGACTCTGTTGTCTCATCCAGATATTGGAATTACTCTCATATGTATTTTAAATACACTGGTTGCTCATTCGCACACACTTTCGGATGCATCTTTTAAATGAGACATTTCAGTGTTATTACAAATCCAGTGGAATCCTGTGGATACAGTCGGTATTAATGGGAACAACCACAAAACAATGGGGAAATCAAAGCATTTGCTAGTTACATT